AAAAACTTAGATAAAGATTATCAAAAAATTATTATTTGTTTCGTTAGTGCAAAAAATGCCATATTTGAAAAGAATAGATTAAAAAAAATTATTACATAATACCTATCGCATAGATCTAGGAAAATCCTTAAATCATCAAACAGGTCAACTATGGTTCATTATATCAATAGGATTAGAACGAGCTAAACCATCAGCAATCATTAACAGCACAGCATGTGTCATCGCTTTACCTGAAGTTGCTGTATCTTTTTTTATCGATTTTTATTTTATCGATTTTTTATCGATTTTTATTTTATTTAAATGCTTAGTTCGAGCTCAAATTTACTTTTGATACGAATATCTTCAATCTATTTGCATATGTTTGAAATAAAACATTATTTTATTTCATTTTCAAACCTGTTTATCTCGATAAAATAAAATTTTATTTTTCTTCGAAAGCATTAAACATACCATAAAATACTTGATTTCAAAGACAGTGTAAAATATAAAATAAAAATATATATTTGCGGAAAATATCGTTAATAAAAATTAACTACAATATTATAGCAAATGTTAAATGACACTTTTTGAAAAGAAAAAAACTAAAACGATAACTATGATACATTTTTATGATAAAAATCAAATTCTTTGATGACATTTCGGCTTCTGCGCTTTGTAAATTTATTTCCACATCGATTCGTAGATTCGCTTCCACATCGTGAAGCAAATATTTTCTTTCAAGACGATTCGGCATTAATACGAGTATTAAAGGTCGCGAGAGCGAGAAAGCGGCAAGAAGGCATTAGTGCCGGCTTATTAGGCCCGCGAAAAATGGTCGAACGTCTTTCCCTCGGCAGGTGATGGCATAATACGGCCGCGGCATCGCCACCTTCGTGGCAGCTAATTCCACATTAACTGCACTCTCTAAATCTCTGTCAACGCGTCGTCTCTAGGGCGGCCTCGACAAAAGCCGAGATTCGACTTTCCCGGTGGTGCACACATGCATCCGCTCACACATATATATGTTCTTTTGCGCGCACACGCATCAAAATCCCGGAGTCGATTTCAAAATGACTACTTACTACTCTGTCGGAAGCGCCGAAACGATACGGACCGCAGCGTCGGCAGACAGCAACAGGGGAATTATTCGACCATGAAACGCCAAACTAAACGGCGCTTTGGGCACTCAAACATGAAGCTCGAACCCCTACCTTTGAGTGACTTTGCGTATATATGCGTTGCATCCGCACGAACGCACACACCCGCGCACACAAAACGCGATCGTACCGCCCCTTAGAAGCGGAGTAAATTCAAATGAGATTATGAAAAGTATACATAATGAGAGGTGCTCAGGAATATTCAGAAAATAGAGAACGTAAAACAATCAAAGACAGTAATTAATTTTTAATAAAGTGAACTTAATTTTGCAATGATAATATTACCGTACAATTTTGTGATCTGAAATGTTTGTGTGAAAAATTATTAAAAAATATAAAAATAAATAATAAGCTAATTCTAAAGAGAGGAAATTATATATTGTACATAAGGAAATTTAACGTTGAAAAAAGATTGTTTTATGAATTTAATTTTTTTTAAATGATTTATACATATGATTTTAAATCTTCTGTATCTTAATTTCTGTTTTAATTTTAACAAACACAAATATAGATTCTATATAATTGTTCGTTATTCATGTGATGTTACAAATTGTAATTTTGAGATACCGGTTCGTATAAGTGCATAGATATCGCGTATTTATACCGGCGTACGTGGAACATCACAAAAAGAGCATAATGGAGCCTGTAGTCAGATAGATGTACATAACGAGGCCACAGGAGGGGTGGGGTAAGGCACGAGGAGGCAGGGTGGCGCGCGGAGGTTGTCGAGATATAAATGGCGGGGAGGAGAGATCAGAGAGGGTTGTTCCCCCTCATCCAGAACGCATCTGCCCCATTTATGCTGCCCCGGGGCACTCTCGAGACCATTAATCCTCACTAAACGACAGCCATTTTGTACCTAAACTGGATTGCCGACTCACTAACTGGTTTTGAGGACGCTTAATAGACTACTCGGTGCTCCTATTATGGCGATCGCGCGCGTCCACGCTGTATTTCGGTGTCGTTTATTCCCCGTTAATGTGCAAATCTCAGGGAACACTCGGGACACATCCCCTCTTGCGCGCGCGCAAACGCATTTTGCTCGTCATGGTCCTGGTAAATTACAAAAGACATATACATACATACACACACACATATATATATATATATATATATATTTTCTTTCTACATGCACATATGTAAAACAAGAGTGAAAAGAGAAAAGAAATAAATCAAACATAATAATAACAAACGTTATTATTTTGTTGTACAATATTTAATTTTCTATTTTTAGAAACATTTATTTCTACTTGCGTCACGTAATTTTATTTGAAGTAAATATATAAATATATGAAATAATATAAAAGTAATTTTTTGTTTAGTATATTTACTTATAAATTCTTTAATATTAACTTATACAAACATTCGCACGTAGTATATATTTTAAAGAAATATATGTTAGATTTTTTTATAATTATATATTAATTATTTTGTATCTTTAATATTATTATTTTATATTTATGATCCTAATATTATATTTATAATATTGAAATTCCAAATAACATACATGTATTTAGTTATCCGTATAATTTTTTGTTTTTAGTAAATCTAATATACTTAATAACAAATAATCTGAATTTAATTGCATAGTAAAATTAAAAATTGCTGGGCATTATGAAAGTTCAGTTGCATCACATCATTACTTTTGCTGACAAAAAGCACCAAGGAGACATAGTCTATGAGTTGTAACGAGATTTTTGTTAGTTAGATTCTAAGTTCATTTTCAGGAAAATTATAAAAGAATAATATCTAACTTCTAAATTTTTGTCTCGGTTTTCCCTCGAGTCCTCCCGATGTTACTTGTCATTTTAATTGTCATCTTATTGGATTAGTGTAATCCAACAATAAAGTATATAGCTAATCTATGTTGCACCGCAGTGACATCGTCGCGATTGTGTAGATTGAACGTATTGTACTAGAGTAGCAGTACTGTTGAGAGTTTAGACAGACGAGGTTTACTATGATTAATCCTGTAGCACATCAGAGAGTTTCACTAACATATTTCTGAGAAGAGAAGTCGATCGATAAACAATGAAATCTATTAGAAATTTCTCATTCCCATTTTTTCAATTTCACGCCAACTAATAAGTGATATTAATATTGATTATGATGCTCTTTTAAGCTACTGTACTGAGCATACTACGATTAAACTTTCGCCTTTTACCCTTATATATGAATATTAATGATTACGTAATCTCTTTCATCAAAAATTTCTACATTATATATTTTCTTATCTAATAATTACAAAAAGTTTGTTCCAATTAATGCATTCTTATGGCTTTAATAAAAGGTTTATTTGTAAAACGAGTCACACACGTCAACATGACGGACTCATATAAAAGCATCATAAAGAGCATCATAAGAGACAACGAGAACGCGCACGTATACGAGTTGCCCAAGGCCTTCTTAGCCCTATTCGTAACTGGCAAACAGCAAAAACCTATGCTTGACGGCTCAATTCTCTCTTTCTGCTTTCTCTCCCGCCTTCTGATATACCTCTTTCCTCGCGAGAACCACGCGCGCGTTGCAAGCGCTTCCCCACCCTCGCTCCCTTCTTTTGAACGGGAGGTTCAATATGTCGTCTCTGTTAACGGAGCGTTAGTAAGGGGTGGATTGGAACAATCCACTCCTTCCATCAGTGAAACATCCTGCAAATGTTTCCTCGAAAAAAATACAAATATTAATATTTTTTATCATTATTTATATAATAATTTATATGCACAGGACATACAATATATAATAAATTAATGCAATAAGATATTAGTGGAGTTAAATTAGTGGAAAATTATCACACATACTTTTCCAAATTATTCAAATTATTTTTTCGAAAAATATAAATAAATATTCTTATCTTTTCATAATAAAAATCTGCAAAACATTAAAGCAATAAATTATATGCTAAAGCGTCTAAGAAATGTAACACATAATGAAAGTTTATTAGTCCTCTATTTTCAAAATAATCAATTTCAAAATTTGTTTATATAATTTTGAGAATAAATAATTGTGCGCAATATTTATCTTGAGCAAGTACATTTTCAAAATTAATTGTTGCTCCTGTATATTTATTAGTATTGTTGGATTATGACGGTACGGGCAACGAAAGACCAGACTGTCAAAATTAAATTCTCCGGTCACGTGTTCCGGCACGCACGCCAATCCAACTGATAATTAAATATGATCAACGTCGGGGTCACGCATATCCGACGTTATCGTAAATCCTAGATTAGCTTTTGCTCGCGCTCTTATGAAAGCGAAACGAGAGGTATCACGCGAACCGTGCGCGAGCCCCTCGCGCATCGAAACGCGAGAGGGTTGCCGTTCTCCCAGCGTGCGCCCAGCATGCACACAGCCACGTGCACCCGTATTGCCAATCAATTCGCGCATTGCGCGCCCGGGAATTAGACAATTAGGAGTCGTCACGTTCCGCTCGGTCCCGCGCACCGCGTCTCACCAGCGCGTTCCACATCGACCGTTCTCGGTTCCCCACCACTCGGAGACTTCCTCGAAGAGAGAGAGCTCGGGGTAATGTGCAACCAGCTCCATCTGGCGACTGTGGCAAACCGGAAGAAGAAGGGGCACCCCCTCGGCTTCCGATTCATCTCGTTGCCCGCTATTGGTCCGCGTTCAACCAAGAAGAACGCCCACTCGCAAAACACCCGAGATGTGCGTCGGCCAGCACGTATTGGTCGAGACCAGACCACAGTACCGGTTCTGCGAACATTGCGGGGGCGGCGCGCACCCGGCGGCGGCACCGCGACACCGAGAAAAGAAAGGGAGAGAGAGAGAGAGAGATAGATAGAGCGAAAGAGGGAGAAAGAGGGAGAAAGAGGGAGAATGGGTCCCGGCAGGGCTCTCCGCCGCGAGTGCAGCCGAGCTGGTAATCAGTGCCGTTTCCGCGGCAGTGGCGGTCACCACGCGGCAGATTACGCAGATTACACCCGATTACATTTGTACTCCACCGCACTGACGGTCACCGGTTCTTTTCCGGGAAGATCACCGGTACGCTCCCGCCTTATCCCCTCCGTCGCGTAACATAAGCTGGAGTACGCGCTTGACCATCCCCGTGAACCATCGCGGGGTCCATCGTGCCGACGTCATCGGGGTACGAAGAATCCGAATATTTCGACAAAACTTCTGGAGTGTTAAAGGAGATTGTATATATCGAACGACGCCAGCGTTCAGTACTCTCGAATGCGCGAAAGAATGTTGATGGCAGCGACGGCCGACGGACTTTTAATCCGTTGACGTCAAAAAATCAATATTTGATTCTTCTTGAGCTACCCTTTTAAAGATCAAGTTCGTCGATGAGTAATAATGACATTGTTCGCAAAGAATGACACTTGTAATCTAATGGTGGAATGGACAGAGTATCAAAGTGTATCGTATGTACGTAGCACGTCGTGAAGAGGAACCTGAAGAAATGTGTGTCATAAAATACCTTTCAGATTATTAACGGAAAGTACACACATGGCGGCTTAGAATAATCAATGATATTTATACGGTAGAAATATAACATGACAATAGAAATTGTCGACGTAAAATTGACTCACGTAACGTTATTTTTAACAGAAACGAGTATCACACAGCGCAAATATTATCCCGCATATTTGATTTAAAATAGTGTGGTTCAAATGTTTTTATACACCCTCATTAAGCGCTACCCGAAAAAAGACCATAAAGTATCGTGAAAAGAAAGTTGCCGTATAAGAATATCGGGGCTAAAGATCGATCGGGATGCGAAAGATATAAAAGTTAAGAAACAAGAAAAGTTGGGTCATCATGTTGATATCCTAAAAACACTCTTCTGACTTTAATGGGGGAATCCGCTCGTGTCGGCTGGGTCATTCCGCGGCGATGCGGCGGATTCCAAGAATAACGGAGCACCGGACTTGTTGAGGCGACGGACTATCTAGAAAGCATCTTTGATTTTACCGAAGAGATTCGCCGGAATCGCGATGTAACTGATCGTCGCCCGAAAGTGCCGCGTGACTCGATCACGTCAACACGCCAGATTAATTTGGTTGATCGTTCTTTAACGGATATTCGCGAAAAACTAATGCAGCGATCGTCAGCTGGCATTTTGAATCGCGGTGCTACTTGCTCGGAATTCCGTTAGAAGTTACGGTGAACTCTGCAGGATGGAACTTAGACAGTAATTGGACGATCTTTTCAATTACATCTTCGAATGACTTCGGAGTATAGATGCAATAAAATCGCGGATATTCCGCGGTTGTATTATCAAACTTGCGAGACGTAAAATCTCGAGGAACTGTACGTTAAGATCAGCATGAGCAACGGCGAAGGAGTGGTGACAGGCCCGGGTTCCGGCAACGATCGTCTGTGCGAGGACGTTGACATGGCTACCCCGACGTCAGCGTCTTCGAATCTGAAACCGCGAAGCGGCAAGATAAGTTTCAGTGTCGACGCCTTGCTGAGCGGCACGAAGAAGAGTGTCATCAGTGGCGGTGCATTCGCGGCCAGGCGAGACAACGATGACAGAATGGACGCGGAAAAGAATCTCGAGATGGAGACTAGATATCGAGAACTGTTAATGGAACAGCAGAGGCTTCAGAGTAGAGAATTGCTCGCCAGGCTGAGTCCTCACGGGCTCGCCGCTTTCGGCAATCATCACCATCATCATCCGAGCAGACTCGATCAGGATCACCCACCCGTTCGCCATGAGATGCTCACGGTGAAGGATTTCTCCAGGACGAGCCACGATAAATCGTCTTCACCCATCAGAATAGATCAAGAGATTCCAAAGGATCGCGACGATCATCGACTGACGACTAACTCGCCGAACGCGATTGGCGAGACGATACTTCAGCGAGAACAGGAGCGCATTCAGGAAGACGATGAGAGGATCGACAGGATCACGAATCCGAGATCCGTATCACCCGCAAGCAGACGAGAGATCCTAGACGATCGTAGCGATTCCGAAGCGAATCGCTCGCTGGAAGGAGACCGAACGACGGATCATCTGGATCTCGAGGATCATGAAATAAGAAGCGTCGGCCAGTCTGAGGACCTGAACGTGATGGACTCGGATTGCGAATTGGAGAGGGATCTGGAGGCCAGCCAAGAGAAGGAGGAGAAGTCCAGTCCGGTAGTGCCTCAGCCGATTCATCCCGGAGTGCAAAGGCCTTCGCAAGGGCCACCATATCTTGCCGGAGCACCCGGCGCTCCCGGTTGGAACCCCGCGGGATTTCCACATTCTCTCGCGGGGTTCGCGTGGTTACCCCCACCCCCACATCCGCACAATCCTCATGGACATCTTTACACACCGCACGGCGGGCCCACTAGTCCAAACGGTAAGTCTAATATGATCGAAACATCTTGTAATTCAATTTTTGTCAATTGTTGTATTTTTTTAAATGATATTTCACATTACATTAAAATAAAAAATTTACAGTTTCGTTTAATAAATGGATGATTTATGATTTCGCATCGTTAGATTGATTTTAAATGAATTTCTCAAATCTGTTACTAAGAAAGTATAAATACAAAGTATGAATAGTATGAAAGAATGAATATATTGAATCGTAAAAAAATTGTCATCATTTAATTTAAATTGTCTTATTATTTAATATCTTAATTTTAATAATCATCCACGCAAAGAGAGAGACAGAGAGAAAGAGAAAAATAACTGTCCGAAATAAAAACATAAATTCGCGTCTAAAAGCTTGGAAAAGATCACGTATGTATGCGGTTTTTCTTTTCTTTTGCTTGAGACCATGCAGATACAATGTCAGTGATTAAATGGAGAACGCAAACTCTTATGAGAATACATGGCACGCAAACTCTTATGAGAATACAAACTCATAATACTTAATGTCATGGGTCACGCGAGTAGACGGATATTATCAGCCTTATGTGCTAAAAAATTCGTACTCCAATTTACCTTCATCGCACACGCGATTAAAGTTTAAATCTGAAAGAAATTTCAGATTTTAAACTTCTAATATCATTTATAATTGACTAGATATCTTCACTTTAGTCGATGATTTTTTTTCGAACGGAAAGATTTAATGGGAATAATATCATAAGAATAATGAGATAGAATATTAGAAATCTAATTCATACAGAGGTGACAATCCAATAAATAAATATTTAGTGGGCAACACATATATCTAAATTATCATTGCAATCACATTTAAAGATTATATGTATATTATTATTACATATACGATATTACATATTCATGTCAATATTAATATAATTTAAAATATATATATATATATAATATAATTTAAAATTTGATTAACTTGCTAATTAAAAATAAAAAATAATTGCTAATTAAAATTCATTGTGCTGCTCGATATATAATTTTCTATTCTATAATCTTCAATTCTCATATAATTATGACTTTAGATGGAATATTTATGCAGAATCTTCATTATTAATATTATGAATTTAAATAAATTGTCAATTATACAGCAAGATAATTTACAGAAGATAATTTTAAAACTGTTATATTTTTTTTAGAAACTTGCAGATTTTAATAAATTTGGAATAAATTTATTTTTGATGAATATATTGAATACAAATTTATTATGCATATTACAACATTTAAATAATTAATAAATTAACGTAATAAGTATATATAATAAATTAATGTTATATAATTACCGTGAGTATGCATTGGCCATTGATTCCAAAAATTATTGAAGTTTTAACATTATTCGCGTATCGAGTATACTATGCAACGAAGCTATTTTCTTTTTAGTCATTGATGTCAATAAGGTCGGTCATTAAAGCCTTATTGACTTTCCTGAGTCTATTCCACAAATGTCACGCGGAACTCAAGACCCTGCTACGACTTGCGACTGGCTTTCTGAAACTCATACGATCGCCGTGAAAAATTCGATTACGCGTCGGATTTGATCGTTGTATATCTAGGCTATTAGGACGTATGATCTGTGCTTACAAAGCGACAACAAGAGGTATTTTTCGTCACCTTTGGTGTGATATAGAAATGACTGTATAACGACATAAACGAAAAATTGATCATAGATAAAAAAAAACTCGATGTAATTGCCTAATGAGGATAGAGAAACTGTGAAAGCAACTGCAACGCGATCTTTAAAGCAGGTACAAAAGTGATCAAACGTACAGATACAGATCTTGTTTCATGACCGGTGGATATATGGATTGTAATTGGCTAATAAATCGAAAGAAGGAAAGTCGTAGTCGCGTTCCAACTCGTGATAATTAGATGCCGCGTTGTGTTACCTGTGGAAGCATATTTTATCGATATAATAATTTACGATAACTTCAATGAGAGAATTAGTTGCTGTTTATTAATTGCCGATTGCCAGGTGGCTCGCTTTCTCTTATCAATTAGCTGCCTAAAGAAGCTATGATATCGCTGTAAGAACAAAAAATATATAAATTGAAAAATATATGCACTTAACTGAGTTTGTTCAATATGAAATATAAGAAGAAATTAATTAATTTAAAATCCCGGGATATTTATGTTTGATATCAAAATGTGATATCAATCGTGATGACAATGTTAGAGCCTCGCATTAATTATTTCTTAATCGCAATTAATTTTTTCCAACCACAGTTATTACCACAGTTATTACCATTTGTCCAAACGAATGGAAGATTCCTCTAATGGAGAAAGACGTTGAAGTGCAAAGACTCGTGTCCTCGTGTAAGTAAAGGACTCATGAGCATTACTACATGACAAAGTCTATTCCTAATGGACAATTAAAGTAATACCTCATTAAGATGTAACCGACACCTTGTGAGCAACGAACTGCATTGTAGCTCTCTTCAAGGTACTCCGCCTCGAGTACTCGAGTACTCGCGAGACTGCAAAAGGATAAGAGTACCTCTCATGCCTATCTTCACTACTTACTCGTCAACTCTTCTGTTCGCGGAGAGAACTCGTAATGGTTTTAGAGATTTCTTTCTCGGAAACAGCATAAATTCCTTATTACATACGGATATAATCTCGCTTGGGAAAACTTCGAGATTCGCGACGTTATTTACAACGAAGATTGTCAATTTCGAATCGTCTTCCAAGAATATATTATTATACTAACTGTGACAAAAACTGTATAATCTTAGGATTTAGGAAAATTTTAGTAAATAAAAAATCTAAAGTTTCTTATGCATTTTTCAAAGTGATATAATTAAAATTATAATAAACGCGCAACACTTGATGTAAAGCAATATAACATCGATAACAAAAAAGAGAAAACATTAAGAAAAACCACACAAATATGAAATTAATACGAATATACATAAGAACAACTACATTTGTTGCATACATTATTTCATAAAATAATTCATAATATAATTGAAAATAATACTTATAGTATTCGATATAAATAACACAAGATAATAATTAGAAAAAAATATTAGGAAAATATATAGAAAAAATATATAATAAAATAAAAATTGGAAAAATACGTAACCTTCAGTAATATAAGAGTAACCGTATAGGATATAATTGATTATCATAGCTTTCAAGGAAATAATTGAACAAATCGTGTTTGCATTATTTATTAATCATAATAAAATCCGATTTTTAAACGTTCAATATAAAGCAATAATTGGAGAATGAACAGATTTTAAGAAAATATTAAAAAATATACATAATTGCGAAGTTCTCTTTCTCTCTTTTTGATGAAAATATATAAGAGTATTATGCGTTACTCTCGCATAGAAAGAGAGAGAGAAAGAGTGTCTTATCCAGATGTTACTGACAGAAAATGGAAAGTTGACGAAGGTGGGTCGGCCCGCGCGCCAACCGAGATCGCAAACAGTTCGACATGATAGAGTCATACATAACTCACGACATCCATAATGCATTCAAGAGGCACCGGATAAAAACTGCTCTTGTTAAAGTGGCCTGTTAGGTTTAGTGTAGCGCATTCAGCTTCCTGTGCTATGTCGCTCGACAAAGTTTTTTATTAACCACAACCGACAAACCATTCGCTTTTCGGTCTCTCGATCTCACCCCTATGCGTTCCTCTTACGATTTGTCTTTCTCGTCTTTTTTTCCGCGACACCAATTACCAGCGCTCAGAACGGAAGCCAAAGCACAGCAAGATACGCGTCATTATTGTATCATTCGCGATTATTGCAGTCGCGACGTTGTTGCTTTTGCTCCAAGATGATGTTCACTTACAGAGAACTATGATTTACGACACCTCTCTTTCGTTAGTCTTCAGTATTTTCAATAAACTTAAAGCGATGCGAATTAACCTTTAACCGCCGAAATTAAAGAATAATCGTATATACATCTATTTAATCATAATATTCATTTTACAAAGAAATTTAAAATTGATTGTAAAATTGTTTGCTACATATACACAACACACACACAACACATACATACAACATACACACACGTGACATTTTTGTATCCTAAACCGCTTCTCGAATCGCGCGTTTCTCTTGCTTGGATCTGAAAAATTGAAAGAAAAATTTATTGACCAGTTTTCACTAACACTCCTTAGCTGACAATGATGAGGAGATTATATACATACGTGGGGCTCTCTCGTAAGTTTGATAATACTGCAGCTTGTCACTTTGCCGAACGACAGCTTTCGAAAATTATAAATACGAACATCATTTATAACGCTCGAATGGCGCTTCCCGCACGCATTTATCTGGATTGCACGCGCAAGAATGAATTAACGACGCCCATCCCGCGTCCAATGATGTTCTACAAAGTATTTTGGACGATTTATCATTCCGTGGACATAATTACCCGCCTGAGTCGTTCCAACGATGTTGCTGGTCGCGCGGTCTTACCTCGACATCTTCAAAAATCCAACATTTATTGACGAAAGTAATGCAAGTAATTATCTTTCGTTATTTTGTATAAATATTCGCGTAAATTGTGACCCGCCTGATTTTTTTATTAAAATAAATTTATAGCATAGTATAAACAATATTTTATATTATTTTACACTTTATTATATTATAGCTGAATTTAAAATTCATAATTCTAATATTGTGGTTTAGCGTTGAATGTAATATACATTTTTATACCTTCACAATTTGAAGCAATCTTTACCATTGCATTTAATTGTCCGAAAATTTATAATGCAGAGTCGAAGGAGAACGTATCGATCTATCGGCGCCAACGCTCGTTGCGGCGATGTACTTATCCGCGTGCGTGTTTCAGCGATCGGGTAATTAACAGAAATTAATTAGTAGTCAAGAAGAACATATTGATCGTTTACGTGCGCGGCATGGCTAACTTTGGCGAGCGACATGAAATCGCTATGTTATCGTGTGAATGGAAGGGACATCGACGTAACGACAGATTGTCTCGTTGCGCGCAGATTTGCGGTATCTTCTTACATACTTTCTTTTGTAAACTCAAACATACATTAAGGATACTTTACAAAAATGCCAATGGAACAGGTTGTAAATTTTAATTTTAGTGATGCTCGTTTTTATAAATTTAAAACAAATTTACGTATATTCAAAGATTTTTATATTTCAGAAAATATTCCCCTTCTCATCTCTAAAATATTATTTCCTGAAGATTACAGATAAATTCATGCTACATTTTATACACATATTATATATTATTATTCTATTTATGTTTGATGTTAACAAAAAATCTTGCTCATAAGATAAATAAATAACACTGTAATTGGAATATTAATTGCATTAATGACTCAACGGCTTAAAACAGCAATTCCTGACACTGTTACATCAATATGAAAATAAAGTGTCACTATAAAAGGTAATAAAATGCCATTAGTAGTATGTTTGGTAAAAGACCGCGTGTGATGTTGTTACGATCCATATACGACGTCCTTAAGGGAAGAAAACGGTGTGAGCAGATCCTGCTAGCTTTGATCCGTCTGAATAAGTATTTAATTAGCAGAAATTAATTAGCCTCCAGGGAGAACATATTGATCGGGTACGTGCGTAAACCGCCTGCCTCCCCCGGGCAATACACGCGAAACGAGGAACGAGTGGTGCAAACGAGAATGAAAGACGTAATACCGGTGTCTCGGACTGATCCGGTCGACAATGCCGGCGGCCCGTGCCTTTTTTGTACACGACCGATCGTTAATTAGCGCACGGAATCCACGCGTGCCCTCCTCGCCGTCGCGAAATCGTCATCATTCCGTCGAGTCGGATGTCGAAAACACTTTTTCGCGATGCCAACACGCAGTCAGTACAAAATCAAGCGATGTAACCACGCATCTGGTTGACGTAGGTTTACTTCTACGAGATATCAATTACTCTTGCTCTTAATAATACGAGTCGCTTATTTTGAGTGCGTCATAGCATAGAATTATGAGGATTGGAAATAACATTTGTAATTATAGAACACACGCGTGCATTAAACAGGTTTATCGGCAACTGTAATTTTTAACATACGCCGATTCGTTTAGTCAATTGTGTGTAGTTTTAAAAATATGCGTGTCATATTGGATATTAATCATTGTCTAACATAAAAATATTGATAACACAACAATATTGTGTGTAAGTCCTTGTTGTATTCATTTGATAGATAATATAATACATTGTTTTTCACAATACTTTATTAAATAAATCGTAGAGGGTGGACGGTTTAAATTAAGTTTATAAATGAAACGAAGAGGAAAATGCGAACTGCTGTCGATATATAATAATTATATTATCATGAAAAGGTGGCAAGATTTTATGCACTATCAGCTAATTGCACGTGTTGTAAACAACGACGGTCGATGATAATTATACCGGATGTATGAGACCAGAATGATAGGTCGATGATTAGGCACCGTTCGCTCTGCCCATTCGAGCGCAATCGGATTTTTATTATTTAATTTGCACCCTCGTCGTGGCCGTGAGATTGTAATCGCTTCATCGCGAAACCTATGAAAACGTATTTTACCTAATCGTCATCGTACACTCATAAATTAACAACTAACGTTGCACATTCAACGTTCATTATCATTCGATGAGTGCACGAAGATGGTGGACTGACGTTTTAATAGCAAATACGAATACAAATATCCACGGATATCGTTATAATCATCTTTCTCTCTCTTTCTCTTTTTCTCTCCCTCTAATGATGCAGAAATAGCGAAGTAATGCAGCAGAGAAATGTTATTTTAATTTATCTCTTTCTACATGTTTTCACACCGGCTTAAATCGGATGAGATTCGAATCATGATATTGAATAATCTTTTCATAAAAATTTTACATCTTGCATCGGAAATATGTCTCCACTAAATAGGCATAATAACATCCGCTTTTATATATTTGTATTTTTTATAAAGTAAATTAAAGTCTACTCTTGCTTAATTGAAAATTATTTTGTTTTATATGATTAAACATAGATTATTTTATCGTACAATAGATTTTTATTAAATCTTTATATTTGACATCTAATCTTTTCCACGCATATTTTTCCATTTGATGACATCATAAGTAAATTATCTGCATAAAGATAGAAAGCCTAATCCTATTTAAACACATCTTCTTTTTTTGTTTTCAGGGGACTTAAGATTACCGGGGCCTGGACCAGGCCCGGTCAGATGCACTCTCAGAAAGCACAAGCCAAACCGAAAGCCAAGAACGCCGTTCACGACGCAGCAGCTGTTATCGCTCGAGAAAAAATTTCGCGAGAAACAGTACCTGACGATAGCCGAAAGAGCAGAGTTCTCGTCGTCTCTCCATCTTACGGAAACACAGGTGAGACATGAAAGCAATTAATTCTTTGAAGAAGTTTCTTTTTATGCATAATGATATTTCAGAGAAATATGTTCAGAGTGCACGCTAAAAAAAAGATTAATAATCATGACATTTATGAGGATTTATTTAAAACTAAAAGTGCCGCGAATATATGTAAATTAGCTTAGAGAACAGTTAATTATATACATATAATATTATTAAGCGTACGAAGAAATATATATTTGCTTATATACCCGATATATATTATAATATTAATATAATTCGAATAAAAAGACAATACGCATTTTATCGACTTTTATATTTCAAATTAATATTAAATTAGATACGAAATGTCAACGAGTGCATAATTAATAAAAATGGTTGCAATTCATTAGGTATATTAGTTTTATCAAATATTAAACATTTTAATGATATAACTTTCTTCCATTTCAAAATCAAAAAAAGATGCTATGTTTCTTCTGACAATTAATATTTATATATATCTTTATGCACCTTAGAGGAATTGATTGAAGATTATTTTTACTTTTATAGATACAGTCTTATTATTCTCTGTATTTTTTTGAACTTTGAATCGTCCTTCCTTACTAAATGTGTAACAGACTATGTTATTATATCGCGCGGTTAGCGTGCTAAGATACACTTTGCGCATTCATTACAATGCATCAGTCGAAATGAAGCTACATCGCATTCATTTGCTTAGATAAGCTACGATTACCTCGCCATCTCCTCGTGTCGTTTAAGCCGTTAAACCATTCCTTCGACTGTGCTCTCTCTCTTCTCATTATTCACTTCGGACAAAGAGGTATGTCTACAATTCAAATCGTGATATTCGCGGCGACATTCATCTCCATGATCTTATGAAATAATTTATCACTTCGTGCGTGGTTATATGATTTTTATGAACAGAGCAATTTTTATAAAGAGAGAATCACAGACAGTTGATATATTTATATAGTAGCATTTATGAGAGACTTATCTTTAAAGTCAACCTTATCTTAGATTGTTATATGATGAATGAATATAATTATACTCGATATTATATTCTATTTTCATTCCTAAGCTTACTTTGGCCGAAATCTCAATTTTCCAATGGATTAAAATTTTGATAATACAAAGTTAGTTTAATTGTGTTATAAGCGACTTAAAATCGAAATGTTTTTTAGAATATATTAGCAATATTTTTCTAGAAATCATCTGATTATGTATGAATTATTATATATCCGAGCTTTCACGCATATCAAAATGTGTGCTCTTGTTAACAGTCCCATCGATGGAAAACGATTTCATAATTCAAATACCGAAGCATCTCGTTTCTTACTTACATTTTTGTAGCAAAGCACCGCAAATTAGCTGTCGATTCAAAGTGACAGTTGCGTAAACGTCGGAATTCGCAAACAGCTGTACAAATAACAATTAAACGCAATTTAACATCAATTCGATTCGTTTGTGCTCAAACTTGAGTTACAACGCGTGTCTTATGACATCGAGGATTTCTCGATGCCTTGATAATTTCTTGTCAGAAGTTGACGTTTTTTTCGCTAAGTATTTTGTATCTAACGACACGCTAAATGCTAATGTATTTTTTTTGCGCAGAAAATTTTATTTACCGATTATGCCAATATTTTCAGTTACTCAACAAAGCGTTAATTATTAGAGTGTTTATTTTATTAATTGCGCTCACGTATAAGTAATTTATGTTGTTTACCGATTGTAAATCTCTTAAATGCGATGTCGAGTAATAATTACGCAGCACTTATATAATGTTCGCAAAATATGTCGATACAATACATAATAGAATTCTCACATCTTTCGAGGCAATATTTTCTCAATGACTTAAACGGCACAGAGAAAGAAGTTAGAACTCAGAAATCGTTCTAATTTTCAGATAATTATGTTCATACAAAAAATAATTTTTACATAATTATTTATATATATAAAATCTTTAAAACTGTTGCGATAACTTTTGTAATATATTAAAAAACACTTTGTTATTAATAAATAAATTGACTCTTGTATTCTACTTAAAATAATTAAATATTATCGATGCCATGTGATAGTCTAAATATTTTTTGTTTTTCTTTGCTATCAATATTACAAAAATATTAGAAACTATGTTATTACATTTATAAAATAGCAAATTTTATTGATATTCCGCTATCGACTTATTTATTATGATTACTCTAATTATTATCACTCTAATTATAAATACCATTATGTTCCAGGTGAAGATCTGGTTTCAAAATCGAAGAGCTAAGGCGAAGAGGCTTCAGGAGGCGGAAATAGAGAAACTAAGACTATCCGCGAGGCCCCTTCTGCATCCCAGTTTCGGATCGGGACTCATGTTTTCTGGGGTGGGCCCGCCTGGTACCCCAGGAGTGCCTCCCTTCATTGCAGCTGCCATGGCTAGGCATACTCATGCCGCGGCGGCAGCGGCCATGTTCATGGGACCGCCGGGGCACCGACCTTAATAGTAATACGTTAGAATATTATATACGTGCGATTTAAAAAATCATTTTTGACATGGTCGCTTCAAGAAATTTGGCAATCTATTTATAAAATAAGAACCCGATAGTATAAAATCTATGAGTTCAGAGAACACAGAAATTCCAAAGATTAAGGATTTATAAGAAACGAGAATATTTACTTCAAGAACGCGGAAATCCGAAATTTGAAAATTTGCATAATTATAATTTTGGGAATTAAGAAATGGAGCAGATAAAGTTAGTGAGGAAGAATTAAAATATAAAATATAGAGAAGTTAAAAATATCAGAATTAAACATTGAAAAAGCATAATCTGATAATTTTAAAATTAAAAATTATAAGAATTCTAAAAATTTCAATCGCTTAGCGTCGAAAGTCGAAATTGCAATAGCGTCAATCCAAACGTCTTATCTCTCCAGAGATATATAAATAATTTAATTTCAAAAACATTAAATCGAATCATTTGAAAATTTCTCAAAAAACTTTGTAACTTAATTAAAAGATACTATATTTTTTCTTTCTAAATGATAGAATATATATCGGCGCCCCAAGCTTTGATCTCAAAGAAAAATATGAGTGTATATAGTGTAAATAGATACGCATTCGTACGATAATTATGGATGTACGTATGTATATATACACACGTGTACAGGACGCTTCGATTATTCTCAAAAGGAGGAATCGTGAAGAGCGAGCGTTCGAGAGTTAGTTTAACGATTTGAACCGCGTTAGCAAACATCTAGCAACATTCGTTTCAGGATTTGATTTAAATATGGAGCGATTGAAAGTGCAGTGACATACATGACGTGAACTTATGAGGTATGTTTAAATAATTACGAGTCTGAGAGATTAAAAAAAGAAGTTATCTGTTAATCTATCTATTAAAGTCATAACTTTCTCCCTAAAAACAATATATTAAAGAAAAATCTCTCTGAACAAAAAAATTTTTTTAAAACATCAAGTTGCAATGTTTCAAATATTTTCACAAGTTATCTTAGGAATATCAACATCATGTTCTTTTCATAGCTATTATTATAAAGTATTGATTTTTCATCGGCAAATACGGTTTGTAATCTTGATGTCTTTCAGACTTGTGGAATTTTTGCTATACGAAAAAACGATACAAGCATGTGTAAATTGCGTATCAGTTTGTATCGATGTATAAATCGAAGAGGTGGAATCGTTCGTAGACAGTAAATACTGAAGTTACGAATGTGGCACGGTTCTAGACGTACCTATATGCGCCTTGTATAAATGTAAGATGATAATTTATCCATGAAGGTATATTATAGCGAAATAAAAATGATTTCAGTATTTACGTTCCGTCAATTTTTCCAACCCTCAATACAATATACACGTAATTTTTTTATTATACAAACTCAACGTACGATAAAATTATACGATAAAAAGTATATATTTTATTTCTTTTTCAAGATCTTTTAAACATCAGTATTAACAATTTATTTATCTATATCACATTTTACATATCAAAACAATACAAATAGATGAAAAGTAATTTTTCTGGAAACTTTAATCGAAAAAAATTAACGAATAAACTCAGCAACTTTTTGACAGCGTAATTAACCGATTTGCAAATAATACAATAACCTAATTGACTGAACGTAACTTCCGCTCGAATGAGGTGTCCGTCTTATTGAGACGAGGCAAAAAAAAAAGAAGCATATTGAGTTTACTCGCCGCTATCGAATATATCGCACAGTCATCGACAGGTCGGCTTCATATATGGCAAGTAGTCGATCCAATGGTATAAGGCGGCCGAAAGTGTCCGCCAGATAATTAGAAATATGTTAATCCACCGTGGTTGCTAATTGGTTTTTGACTAAATTTTTAATTAAGTCTTAAGCCTGGGCGGCGCGCTGATTTATCGAAGAGAGGACCCGCGGCTAATTATAAAATATATGTAGAGAAGATACCAACACACACGCATGTCTACGGCGGTCGCTCATTTGTCGCTTTCATATTTGTATGTGTCTTGGCTGTGTGCACCTGTCTCGCTTTATAATGTGTGGGCATATATATATGGGTACCTGCAGCTTGTTTTTTTTCGGCGACGCGCAACTTTCCAAAAGAAATTATCCCGATAATTGTCGTGTCATTTTCGCATTTTGTTGCAAGCTTGTAATATTCGAAGGCGTTCATCGATTCGTGATACAAAATTTATCAATATTACAGGTCGTTTAAATGGATAGATAAATAATTTAAAATAAATATGATTTGCATTTCATTCCTTATACTTTTACTTAGCTTGAAAATTGTGTGCTCTTGCTAATATTATTTAACAAGAAATGAGAAGATTTAATAAGAAAATGAATGAATCTAATTACCTCAATTATTTTATATTGCAATTTATGGTTTTACCTTTATGACAATAATTTTTTAACATACTAATTAGATCAATAAAGTTAGAGAGCAAGTCTCGAGAAGACTAAAAAAGTGAATAATGAATATTTGTATCTTTTTATATATCTTTTAATCTTGAGATCATTATATTATCATTTAATTAAAATTAACCGATTTCGTCTTAATGCTACCAAATTAGAAATTGAATACAAATACATCACATACATAGAAATCAATTACATCACGAGACAAGTGGCAAAGCGCAAAGAGATCCCTTAAGAGCGACGATTCACCGTTAAGAGCTTTACAAACAGGCGCCAGATATTCACTACTCGTGTAAATCGGAAGCTGTTTGGGGATCCCTCGTTCTCTCCTTCTCTCTTATGTTCTCCAAAGCCAGTCAACCGCCTCCGCTACTCGGCACGACCTCAGAGAGTCGGCACTCCCATATAGATGAAATTTATGTACCGTGCCCGCCGATTCTACGCATACGGCCACATTGAGCGCTGACAATTAATTAAAGAATAATTTCTTGTCTTCGCGATACGCGGAGGAGCGTTGCCGGCTGGCGTCCAATTATGCCCTCAGACCGGAGCGGAATACCAAGCAGTTCCGTCGACAACACTGAACTTCTCCGCGTACTTCTTCGGGAGCTGTGTCCTTGTAACCCTTCTAGTCATGCCGCTGCCAATGCGATTCATAAAACGCGAGTCGCAAGAGTAATAACAATTACAAAAGTAATAACATCTGCATCTTAATTACACAAGAAACAACAAATTTTAATATTTTTTTATTTCTATCAATTTTGGGGCAGTGTTAAAGCTCTTCAGAACGAGACAAAATTAAATTTCCATACTGTTTGAATTTTTGATGTTTCATACTTTATAGAAATAATGTGTTGATTGCATCAAGCTCCTAATTTTAATTTTTTATATGTTTCGAAAATTAAAAATAACTTAAATATATAGGGATATAAACATTATGAATATGTAAAAAAGAAGTCGAAAAGATGCGTTGAAGAATTTAATTTCGATATTTAATTTCTGGCTACATATGTACATATATGTATATATTCCGTCTCTGTTTACATTTGATGATGACAGTTTCTTCAATAATCTTCGCCGTCGCTAAGGAGTTGATCACCTGTTAAAGAATCAAAACAGAGCAAGAATACGTAATGATCCAAAAAAAATAAAAGAATGAGAGGGAGAAATATTCATGGTTAAACGCGTATACCGAAAGCAGGATTCTCTGCGCTCATTCAGTTTATCCAAATTAATTGGCCGTAAATTAAACAGTCCGCTCTGACGAATGAACGAGCGATCACGATGAAGGAAACGGAATGGTGACGGCTGAAGAGGCAAAAGGGAAGATCAAATATGCGCATAGTGGAAGAGAAATAAATGAGAAGAAGAAAGTCGGACGAAGAAGAATAGGTGTCGAAAAATGAGAGAGATAAAGAAAAAGACAAAGAGAAGAAGAGAATGCTAGTTGAAAGAAAAGGCAAAGAAAGGATAAGTTAGAGAAGACATTATCCGGGATACTACAGTAGCGTTTCGACACACCATTATGTGACGACTGGGACTAATTTATACATGGGAAAGACGAAGACACTACCGAAAATCAAGTCGTGCGGCAGAAACAGAGAAAAAAATCTTGGTGGCATTATATATTTAAGAGAAGGAGCCTTCCTAATTGGAAGCTCGCCACTGTTTCAACGGGTGCACCGGTGTTTGGATTCATGTCTTACAGATAATCAGAGAAACGAAAATTTTATCCCGAAGATTAAACTTAATTATTTTTATTCTAATTTTGATCTCAGATTTGAAGATAACATATAGGAAATGTAAAAAAGAGCACAGATATATAGTAGTTATTTAGATTTTATTTTTGTTTCTTTCTTATTATTTTTTTATCTTTTCTTTTCGGTAAATGCATTTAGTTTCATTGAAATTCATTGAATTTTTCCTGTATTAATTTTAAAGATATTTTATATTATTTTGATTTTTTATTATATTATAAAAAGTAACGCATGCATATGTATACAACTCACATGCTTTTCAAGGAATGAGGTTCGGCAACATGTTTCGATAAATGTTGTAGAGAAATAAAATGATCGCGTCGAAACACCATAAATCGGACGCATCGGTAAGCGAGAGCTCGGATCATGTGCTGTTGCCAGTAATTGCCGGCAAGATGAATCGGGACGAAATCTCGTTTCCGACTTCGTAGGAAATTTACGAAGCGGCATCGAAGCGTTTACGGCGAGAAAGTTATCCGCTACGGCCGCAAGAAAGTCGTGGCCGATGCAAACGCGTCTCGGCGGACTCTTCAAAAGTCTGCCGAGGAACCGAGCTCCTAATTAGGAACAAGCTTGATAGTCGTTCTTACACGTATTAAGCGATAAAACGAACAGGAAAGGCGAAGAAGGATAATAAGTAAAATTCATAAGTAATATCATTTGCTTTATCGTACTTGGGCCTCGTATTTTTCCTTCGTAAAATTATTTATCTCAATCACATTCATCCATAAAATGTAAATTTTCGATTTTTTACAGACGTAAATTCCGGCTCCATATCGATAGTTGACGAGTAATTTGATATTCTCCATCAAAAGAAATTGAGAAA